CCCAGCTACTTGGGAGGCTGAGGCAGGAGAATTGTTTGATCCCAGAAGGTAGAGGTTGCAGTGAGCTGAGATTGGGCCACTGTACTCTAGCCTGGGCAACAAGAGCAAAACTCCGTCTCAAAAAAACAAAAATAAGAAAAAAATAAAATAAAGTGAAGCTGAATGAATTATGGGGCATTTATAGTTAGGAATGTTACGCACCCACTAAAAAGAATGAAGTAGAGATAAACCAGTGATTAATTTTTATTAGATGTTTATGAAAAAGAAAAGCAAGGTAAGGAAAAGTGTATACATCATTTAGGTAAAACAATGATTTAAAACCTATGTGTGTATATGTATGTTTTGTTAGTCTGAGTTCTGCAAGGACCAGTGACTAAGATGGGATTCCACTTGCAAGAGGTCTATTGGAAAAAGCTCCTGTGAGTGAACAATGGGAGGCACATTCTCATAGCTGCAGCGTATTCACACATATGGCTATGTGTGTGTATGTTTATGTATAGATATATATATCTGTATATCATATATGTGAATATGTATTATATATGTTTGTGTATATATGTGGATATATGTATACGTATACTGTATGTATACATATGGCTATGTGTGTGCATGTATATGTTCATATACATTTGCATATGTAGGCATAGAGAAAAGTATGAATGGGTATACACTAGGTTATTATAATACATAGGTTATGGGGAAGGGGAGTCCTACAAAAAAAAAAGAAGGAAAAATTGCCCTAAAACCCCTCACATTTCAGACTTCTATATTCAATTGCCCATACCACATCTGAAAAGTTTTAATGCTTTATAAACTGAATTCCTGAGTTTGCCTGCCTCTGATCAAACCTGCAGCACCCCCATCCTCCAGTCTGATTCTTGTTTCCTCCTACATGACCTGTTTTCTACCTGCTGGAAACCCTTGGAATCTTTCCTTTATGCCAGGTGCTCTGGAATCTCCCCACCACTTGTCCTGCTATGGGTCTTGCCCCATTTATTGTATTGGGTACTTGATGGGCACTTACATCCTTAGGTTATGGAATCTGACACCCTCACTCTGGGGCTCTGCTGGGGAGATGTGGCCGAGGAGGAGTCCGAGGGGCAGCTCTTGCCCCTCCCCGGGGAAAGGTGTGCAGAAAGCTGATGAGGAGACCTGGCTTTCTCACCAATTGGCCCATCTGAGTTCTCACCACTGAGTCACTCTCATTATCTCCACTTTTCTAGGGAGGAGGCCTCACCACGGTGCCCAGAGCAGCACAGTGAGTCAGATATGAAGCTCTTGTCCCACCTGCCCCAACCCTCAAGCCCTACTTCCCAGGTCTGCGTTCCCAGGCAGCCTGCCACCGCCAGAGCAAGCGAGAGGGTGGATCAAGCTTTAGGATAGCCCAACACTAAAGACGTCTAAAACAGTCTTCATTTATTTATTTATTGTTCATAGTGTCCAAAAATTGGAATTAAAGTGAATGGTTGAATAAATTACGGTGCGTTCATATTTGGGAATGTTATGCATCTATTAAAAAGAATGAAATAGAGGTAAACCAGTGATTAATTTTAATTCGATATTTATGAATAATAAAAGCAAGATCAGGAAAAGTGTATGTATTCTTTAGGTAAAGCAGTGATTTAAAATCTCTGTGTGTATTTGTGTTTTGTTAGTTTGAGCTCACTAAAGATCAGTGAATCACTGACCAAGATGAGGTTCCACTTGCAAGAGATTTATTGGGAAAAGCCCCAGGAAAAATGTGTGCATATGGATATTTTATTTCATTAAGTATATAGAATAAAATATCTTTAGATGGAATAAAATATCCATATACTTTAAAATGTTTGGATTGAAGTACAGTGAAGTGAAAATTCCCCCTCCCAGTTTGGTTGCCCCCCTCCCGTTTTTTTTGAGACATAGTTTCACTCTGTTGCCCAGGCTGGTGCAGTGGCACAATCTCAGCTCACTGCAACCTCCGCCTCCCGGGTTCAAGCAATTCTCCTGTCTCAGTCTCCCCAGTAGCTGGGACTACAGGTGAGTGCCACCACGCCCAGCTAATTTTTGTATTTTTAGTAGAGACGGGGTTTCACCACGTTGGCCAGGATGCTCTCGATCTCTTGACCTCGTGATCAGCCTGCCTTGGCCTCCCGAAATGCTGGCATTACAGGCATGAGCCACTGTGCCTGGCCTTGGTTGCTGTTTTTTAGAGGCAACTGGTGCTAGTTTCTTGTGTATGCTTCAAGAGATATTTTAATGCAAAAAAAAAAAAAAAAAAAGGTAGATAATCCTATAGTCCACAATCCCTTATCTGGAACCCTTGGGGGCAGGTGTATTTTGGAATTGGGAATTCAAGGAGTGTGGAAAGGTAGTGTGTATATTCTGTCACAGTCCCAGCAGAGCCTGTGATAAAATACACAAAGATTTCTGCACCAAGCAAAATAAATAAAGCCATAATCTGCCTTAAGTCAGTTCAGTTCAGCCAGGTTTCGCGACCAAATGTGTATGTGTTATTTATTTATTTCTTAGTTGTGTTCTTTGGAGACTTTTGAATTTTATAATTGTGGATAAGGGAATGTGGGCTTGTGTTTGTACTACTCTCCTTATTTAAAAACTTACGGCAGCATTCTGCACCTACTGGATCAGACTAAAAAGCTTTTTCATTATTATTTTTTTGTATCCCCATAGTATTGCATTATACACATGCACCATTGCCAACTTAGCCTGTTCATGGACATTTGGATTATTTCCAGTCTTCTCCTCAGTTGCATCAGTGCTGCAATGAATAACATCATGTACTCATTTGGCACATGTGCAAGCATATCTGTAGGATAAATTCCTAGTAGTGGAATTGCAAAGTCAATTAATAATAATGATAGTTAACATCTGCATGGGTATTTACTAAGAGCTGGGAACTGTTGTAAGTGCTTTACAATAATTAAGGTATTTTAATCCTTGCAACAATCTCCTGAGGGAGATACTATTATCATTCCATTTTGCAGATGAGAAAAACTGAGGTACAGAGAAGGTAAAGGACTTGTAGAGCTGGAATTCAAACCGAGGTGTTCTGACTCTAGTCTGTGCACTTAACCATTACATTCGACTGCCTTTTGAAGGTCATGGGAATTTGTAACTGAGAGAGACACTGCCAAATTGTCCTCCGCACGGCTTTACCAATTCATGTTCCCACCAGCAGCCTGCAAGCCTGCTTGTTTCCCCGCCAATGCTGCGCTGAATCAAACTTTTCGATCTTTGCCAATCTGATAGCCAAAAACGGTGTCTTACTGTAGTTAAACTTGAATTTCTTTTACTATGAGTCAGATTGAGTGTCTCTTCATCTAAGGGTCATTTGGAATTCCTTTCCATAAACTGTCCATTCATATCGTTTACTCCTTTTTTCAGTTTGGTTATATCTGTGACTTGTATTGAGCTTTTTATGTCTGAGGAAGATTAGTCTTTAGTGGTTCAAAAGGTACAGATCTTTGCTTAGCTAATCATTTATGTTTTGATTTTGCTGGTGATGGGTTTTGGACAGAGTATTAGGAGGAGACAAACAAAAGAAAAGGGCTTTATTGTTGGGAATTGAAGGGAGGGAGAGGACAGAGCAGATCCCTGGAAAGAGGTGCTCTCTGCCTGGTGAGGCAGCAGGGAAGGAAGGTAATGGGGTTAGTGAGGAGGGCCCCTTATGGGGACAGGCACAGCGGGTTCAAACATGCTACGTGTGGCCCACTGAGACTGGAGGCTGGGAGGGCTTCATGTCTCCCATGAAGGGAGGACTTCATGACAGATACGAGGATGCATTGCTCAGATGTGCTGCTCCAAGATGCGTCCAACAGAAGACACATTTTCCCAGTAAAAGACTGCCCAGCTGCAAGGCTGTGCTCGGCTGGCAGCCTACCACTGATGGCTCCTACAGGCTCTACTCAGCTTTTGGACCAAGTTTATGATTTTCTTTTGAGTGTCCCTGGCCAAGGACTGAGCAAGATGGTGGTATGAGGACCCAGCCATTCCATTGTTTCCACATTTCCAACACAGGAGTCCTCTAATGGGCCGTTTTTGTTCTAGTTCACTGGATGACTGGCAGAGTCAGGTCTGCAGGTCTGAGAACTCCACTCTTGCTTTTGCCCCATTTCATTCCCAGGCATTACCCTCGCCCTCTCTAACCTTGCATTCCTAACCCTATCTCAACATCAGCTTCCTGGAAAACCCAAGCAGCCCAGACTCTGAAATTCTTTTGGTAAAAATTGACATACTTTTTTTTTAAGCCACTGATATTTCATATTGTCCGAGCCTTAAGATTTGTTTTTCTATCTGGTAGTGACTATACATGTCCTTTGGCTTGGACGTAAGGTGAAAATGTTGGCCTGTGTGTGAAGGCAGCTGAGGTTGGCCCTCCTAGCAGCCGGGGGGAATCTGACCTCAGCTCAGAGCCTGGAGCAGTGGCATGGAGTGGCCAGTTAGCACTGAGTGGAAGCACGTCTTGGGTAAGGTGTGTGGGAGCACTTTCAATGCCAGCCCCAGGCCTGAGAACATACCACACAGGGAACAGGGTGTAGAAGCATCTTCTTTGGCAGCCACAGGTGGACCTGATAGTGGTTGGCTCGCATCTCCCAGCCCTTCTGTGCCTGGACCTTTCTCCCCACCTCTGCTCTAGTGTCCTGACAGGTCTCCTGACCTCTGCATGTTGCCAGAGTGATCTGGTCACACCACTTCTTAGTTGTAGGCTTTGGATGGTAACACCTGGAATCTACCCCCTTGGCTTATGACTCAAGCCCATTCATGTGCTGGCTCCTTTTCAGTCTCTTTTAACCACCCCATCCTTTCCTCCCTATACTCCACACTCACAAGACCTCTTGCCATTCTGAGAACCAGGGGGGCTCTGTGTCCCTCTGTCCCCATCACTGCTGGTCTCACTGGCTGGAATACCTTTTTGTTCTCCCCACCCCTCAAGGCTCCTCAGTAGATATAAATGCATGCATTTGGTTTGCCACATTTAAGTTTCCTCAAGAGACTGTAGTAAATATTTGAAGTGCTTTTAATTAGAAAATACCTTTCATTGCCTACTGCCCTGTGGAACTACCACAGCTTTGAAGATGTTCATTCAGTGCAGAGACTGGACCACGTGAGGGTTGGGCTATATGGGTTACACATACCATCTTGGGATACATCCTGAGAGGCATTTCTTGGCCATTCTTCCGATACCATTCCTATCATATACATCTCTATGACCACAATCACTGATCACCAGCAAAACCACTAATTTGAATCAGACATTCTTTCAACTCTCTTACCAAGATTGCTCGAAATGTTGAAATGCGCTAGGATGTAAGTCAGCAGAAAACACTAATTGAGTTTATAATGTGGGCAGTGAATTGCGGTAGGTGGTAGGTCAGCAGGTTGTGAGAAAGCATGATGGACAACATAGTACCTGCCCCCATGGGAATGGATTGCTCAACTGGACGGTCAAACACCTGTCAGCTGATGGCTATGTATGGCTATGCAGGTCCTCAGTGACAGGGGCCCTTGAAGAAAGGCACTCACTGCAGCTGGGGCAGCCATGGAGGGCTCCCATCAGGAGGTGGCGATGGAGATGGATGTGGAGGAATGGCAAGGATTTGGAGAGACTAGAGGAGTGAAGAGGGCCTCTAGAGAGAAGGTGGCTTGATGATTCACTCAGGAGGAGCCCTACTTATTTTGTTTGATGAGTCTGGGATGCATCAGATATCTCTTTAAAGCACTGGTTCTCAAGCCTGGCTGAATATTTTAATTACCTGTAAATTTTTTAAAAACAGGGATACCTGGGTCCTACCTCCAAAGAGTTTGATTGGATTGTTGTGGGGTGTGATATGGGCACTGGGACTTTGACAGCTTTCCAGGATGGTCAGGTGGTGAGAACACTCTCCTGCCAGGTCTCCAGCTCACACCTGTCAGGCTCTGACACTTCCCAGGCGCGCCTCTCACGCCCTCCTCCTGGGCTGGGGCCACCCGGGAAGGAGCCCTGGCCTCTCTTAAATCCCACTCATACACCTGGCCTCAGGTTCCCAGAAGGATTTCTCTGCCTGCTTCACATTCAGGCAGTCGCAAGGTGGTCCCCTGAGCCACAGGCTGCTTGGCTTTACCTCTGCCTCAGTGCCCCTTTTCTGGCGCTTTCCTGGAGCTCCAAAGAAGCAGTGGACGAGTTCCGTGAGGTCCAGCTGTGGCCATTTCCAGAGGGCCTTGGGCTGAGCTTCCTGAGGGCACGTCTACACACACCCGCTGGGCAGGGGACCTGTGTGCCAGCCACAGAGGGGGCGCCGGAAGGGGATTTTCTCTCGCTGCATTTCCTGGCATTGAGCAGGGCCTGAATAAAGTCCAGCTCGCCTTTTGAGGCAGTCTCTGCTGAGTGGTCTCAGGAATGCCATTCCTCACTTCAGGGAATTCTGTAGGTGGGGCTGCTGGCCACCAGCCAGTGTGTCTAATGGAGAACATGCACCAGTCACAGGTTTGAGCCCCCTCCCGGAGGCCACGGCTCTGCCGCCTCTTCAGCAGTGCAGCAGGCATCCCATCAGCTGCAGGAAAGAGGACGAAGGGTTGACATGATTTTCTGACAAGAAAGATTGCTCCATTCGAGGGTTTACTGTCAAGGCAGGAGATAAAATGCCCTGGCTCTTAAGGCCTTTTCATTTGGTTATTAATTCAAAAACATCTTTAGGGATTTTGCTTTTAAATGATACATATTCTTTATTTTAAAAGAAAATACAAACAGCAACGTACCCAGAAGAAATGGAGAACCACTGGCTAGAGAAAACCACTGCCATTAATGCTTTCCGGGCCTCTGAGAAGTCCGTTTCTGCTGGCACTGAGTGTGTGTTTCTCTGGGCAGGAGCTGGTATAACATGACCCTTGAAAGCACTCGCAGCCCCGGGCTTACATAAGTAATGTGATGACTCTCTCCACAGAGCCCCTCTAGAGACATCCCACCACCCTGCCCTCTTGAAAAGAACATTCAGTGTGTCTCACACCAGAACCCATCCAAGGAGAGAGGATTCCGAGATAGTGGCTCATCTTCCTTGGTCCCAGAGAGGCCTCGGAGCAGTCCTCTCTGTTGCTTCACAGCCCTCCAACTATGCTAAGAATGCAAACCATTTCCCATGGGACTGGCAAAGCCATGAAGCAATTCTGAGCCCAACCTCCCCAAATATCTGCTTTGCAAACAGATAAAACAGAGAAACATCCTGAAAATGTGCTGTTGGGCCATTCACCTTAGGCGATTATGGTGTCTGCTTTCCTGCCAGGAAGGTTTCTGCTTCCACAGTCCAGCCTGGAGCTGCTGGGGAGCCAGTTTGGGATGTGGCCATGTTCCCTGAGGGGCAAAACACAGAAAACTCTCCGGAAGGGGCTTCTCAAGGAAATGGGGACCAAGCGAGGCTGTGGGCTCTTTTCAGAGATCTGGCTCCCATCCCAATGCTGGACTCATTGCTGACCAGTCCTTGGGGTCATCTGGGTGCCCTTTGGCTCCTGAGATGTCTGGGCATGGGGCTGCCTTCACCAGCTGCAAGACCCCAAACCCAGCTCAACCAGCCTTTGGCATCTCCAGTCTGCACCAGCTCCAATTTTGTGGCCTGAGTGGGTGGAGGCAGTGGCAGGGGGAGTCCATGCCAAGCCTGGCAGAGGGAAGGAAGAGGAAGAGGAAGAGGACTTAACTTTCTCAGTAGCTTCAGCCTTCCGAGAAACTCTAGAATGCCTTGCTGCACTATGGCAGGCATAACCAGGTCCCAGTGACCTACATAACCTTCCAGACATCGGGCAAGTGGGAGCCCTGACTCATGCCAGGGGAGCCTGACAGAGGAAGGGTGGGGGCAGGGAGGATTTATAATCCTGAGACGGTGAAACCACCTAAATATTTAGTGATGACTAAGTGAGTCACCTCATGTCCACAGGGTGGAATATTATGTAAAAGTGATTACTATAAAGACTATTTAGCAATATTGCAAGTGTTTATGATATAATATTAAGTGAACAAAGGAAGATACATACCTTTACTGCACCTGAACAAGAGAAGACTGGAAGGGGATTTTAAACAATAACAGTTGCTCTGCTACAGTGGTGTCATTAGGGACCTTATTCTTGGAAAAGAAAGCAGCAGTTTTATAGTCAGACAGATCTGGACTAGTAGCTTAGATCTATTTCTTACTTACTAGAAATGATCTTGACAGGTAGCTTAAATGCGGTTGGTTTTCCATCTATAAAATGGGTACCGTAATTCCTGCTTTACAAAATTCTTGTGAAGATGAATCTGATTGTGCGTCTCCTTCCTTCTTGCCTTCCTTTCTTCCTCCTCTCTCTCTACATATTTTTCACTCATACTGCACAATCCAGTTGCCCACAAAGGATTCCACAGCCGAGTCATCCTTGGGTCTGCTTAAATCTCTTGCGCTCTAGGGAAGGTACATTTGCCTGTTTCTGCCCTAAGCAGAGCTGTGGATGAGGAGGGGTGTTCATGATGAGACAGTCCCTGCGTGGGCTTGGCAGGGGGAGGCTGGGTTGGTCCTCGCTCTCAGAGCAACCACAGTGCTGTGCGTTGCCAGCCCAAGCAAAGTCACAAAAGCCTTGAAGGTAGAAGCAGGAGTAAGGGAGCCTGCCTGACAGATACCACGCTGAGCAGACCCCTTTCTTGTCTCTGCTACCATGGCCTGGCTCAAGCTCTCTTTTTTAAAAAATTATTTTTGTATTGACAAATACAAATTGTATATGTTTATGGTAAACAACATGGTGTTTGGAAGTCTGTATACATAGCAGAATGGCCAAGTAGAGCTAATGAACGTATGCCTTACCTTGTACTAATCCCTGTGCTGCGGGGGAGGGGGCAGAGGGGAAACGTGTAAAATCTACTCTCAGCAACTTTCAAGTACACAAAACATCCTTACTGTAGTCACCATAGTGTACAATAGATCTCTTGAGGTTATTCCTCCTAATTGAAATTTTGTATTTTTTGACCAACACATTCCCAATCCCTCCCAAATCAGATGCTCTTATCACTAGCAGGATCCATGGCTCCTCAGGCCTGAGTCACATGCCACTGGTGGGCAAAGACATGACCGATGGCAAATGGACATATTCTTCTCTTCCCTTCTCTTCTCTTCCCTTCCCTTCCCTCCTTCCCCTCCCCTCTCATTTCTCCTCTCTCTTCTTTTTTTTTTTTTTTGAGATGGAGTCTCACTCTGTCACCCAGGCTGGAGTACAACGGCGTGATCTTGGCTCACTGCAAGCTCCGCTTCCCGAGTTCAAGAGATTCTCCCACCTCAACCTCATGAGTAGCTGGGACTACAGGAGCGCGTCACCATGCCCAGCTAATTTTTGTATTTTTTAGTAGAAATGGGGTTTCACCATTTCTTAGACCTTGCCTGGCCTAATTTTTGTATTTTTGTGGAGACTGGGTTTCATCATGTTGGCCGGGCTGGCCTCGAACTTCTGACCTCAGGTGATCCGCCTGCCTCATCCTCCCAAAGTGCTGGGATTACAGGCATGAGCCACTGCACCCAGCCTTCTTTTCTTTCTGTGAGACAGAGTCTTGCTCTGTCACCCAGGCTGGAGTGCAGTGGCACAATCTCCACTCACTGCAGTCTCAACCATCTGGACTCAAGCCATCCTCCTGCTTCTGCCTTCCCAGTAGCTGAGACTACAGGCCCATGCCACTACACACGGCTAATTTTTTATTTTTTGTAGAGACGCCGTCTTGCCATGTTACCCACGCTGATCTCAAACTCCTGAGCTCAAGCGATCTGCCTACCTTAGCCTCTCAAAGTGATAGGATTACAGGCATGAGCCACTGCTGCCCACACTTTTCATTTTAAGAATGTGGCATTTTTATGCATATATTAGGGGAAAAAATGAAGTGGTGGCTATAATGGTACAATAGAAGCAACATAAAATGGTTTAAAAATGAACTAGCATAAAGAGAAATGCTATGTAAGAAATGGTTCGTGTGGTCCCTGGTAGATCAGGAAGGAGAAGGGGAATGACTGAAGTGTGGGGTCCCTGCCCTATCCCCTTCCATCCATCTTCTAACTCTGACCCAGCCTCGGTCTCTTCCACAGTGTGCCCCTGTCCTCTTCCCACTATGGCCAGAGAAGTCTGACTAGAAGGAAACCCTGACAGTTGCATCCTTCACTACAGGGCAGTCACCTTAGGGAAAAGTCTAGGTCTTTCCTTGGGGAGGCCTCAAAAGCCTTCCAGGATGGACTCTGCCCATCTTTCCAGCTTCCCATTACCCTTGTCTCTTCCCGTTTTAGATACCTGAACCCTGAACTTCCAAACTAAGCTTGATGACTGAGCCTCTGAGTCTTAGAGTGTTCTATCTCCTCTACCTGTGACGTCCTTTCTCCCTTGTTTGTCTGAAGGACTCCTATTCAACCTTGATAGCCTTTTTAGGGGTCCTTTCCTCAGTGAAACTGTCTAGATCTCTTTGTAAAGGGTTAATCCCACCTTCCTCTCTATCTTGAATCACACGTTTAATTGAATCATGCATTTAATCATGCAAACCCCAAAGCCTCCTGTTTCCTTGTCTGTCTCCTTGCTGAGGTGGTCTCTGAGGGCCTGGCATGTATCTAATTTAGTTCAGGATCCTGGGTTCTTATGCAGTAATTGGAATAGGACAAGGGCTCAGCACTAACGAAGATGCAATTGTTATAGCTATTGTTTATGAAGTGCTGTCTGCACATTACCCATTCAATCCTTACATCCACTCTAAGAGGAAGAAACTTTTGACACACATCTTTTAGGCATGAGAAAACTGAGGCTCGGAGAGGGGAACTCATTTGCCAACAGTAGATACGTGGAGGAGCAGATTTGAACTCTGGCTGCCTGACCTTTTGTCCCAGGCCCTCACCTGCTCATTTCCCACTTTCCTGAGTACAAAGTTGACCCCTCAGCGGGGTGTACAGGTGACCCCTCAGTGGGGTGTGCAGGTGGGCGCAGGCCTCACTGAGGTCAGTGGACTCCTGGGCACCAGGTGGAGCTGTACCCTCATGCCTCGCTACAGAGCACCCGATCCTGTGGCTGCCCTTTCAAGGTTATGGTGTTGGAGAGGGGAGTGGGAAACAAGACAAAGGAGAAAATATAGTTGAGCCAGATGCCCTGTGGAATTTCTGGCCTTTATTGAATTCTAAGAAGAGAAAAAAAATGGCTGTGCTTATTTCAAGTATGTCAAGATAATAAGGAGCTCTTTACTGTTTATATGCAAAAATGTCTGGCAGCCAGCACCTGCAAGCAAGAGGCCAGGAATCTGTGAGGCCCAGGCACCCTAAGCTGGAGCCCCAGGCTCCACAGAGGGGCAGCTGGGCTAGCAAAGTGAGAAGGGAAGGGGTGGACCCCCGTCCTCAAAGCCCCTGCATTTTCTGCAGCAGAATTTCATCCCTAACCCTGGAATGTGGGCGAGCCCTTCTTGCTTGGAAAGAGAAGTGAACTGGCTACCTCCCTTTGTCCTTCTGGGCACCCCATTCCTTGGCTCTCCAGACTCATGAACCCCTTTTTTTGGGAGCACTGGACTGTCCAGTAGTAGAACCTCATT